ACACACACACACACACACACACACACACACACACACACACACACACACACACACACACACACACACACTCTATTGACGGAGAGGGGGAGATTTGAATGTCTTTAAGAAGCCTGGAGAACTATTCCTGATGGCTGCTCAAGGAATCTACCAGAAAGCCTAAATAAGAGAGTCCAGGCTGTGTATAAAAGTGGTCATATTAAACACTGACTTTCAAACTTGTGTGAATTGTACAAATGGACTGTTTTCCCGTGTGTGTTTACACATGTTTTAATAAATCATTGCACCTATTTCCCATTTTCCTAGAAAAACAAAGATATGAGGAGTGACTCAAGTCTTTTGCACAGTACTGTATCTATCCAGTTACTATTTTATGACTTCTATTCCACAATATATTGTATTATTTAATTCAGTCCATGAATGAAATCATTAATTTAGTCTTTGTTTTAAATTCATGGACTGTGTACGCATGAGTACAGATGCGTGTGTTTACGTGTGCTTACCTATTTTTGTTGCACTGTAAATGTTCTCAATAGGAAAAACAGATCCCAGACTATATAAGAGAACTTTGGCCAGCGCTGGTATGAGCTGTGTTGTGGTCACCAACACATTTACACAGTTACTCCTGAGGGACAAAGAGAAAGAATAGGCCATATTATGCACAGTGGAGGTGGGTAGGTAAATGCATGAATAGATTCCCGAGTGCCTCTAGTGTCCACTGGTGCTCAGTTCCAACCCTAACTCTTAACCACGGAAATCAAAGGAAGAGAGGACTAGAAGAGACATTGCCATCTGTGTAAAGTATGGAAATAAAATGGAAAGTGGCACCTGGAGCTGATTATGGACAGGGACTTGAGTGCGTGGGTGAGCCAGGAGTCAGTCAGAGCTTCCACCTCAGCTCTGAGCTGCAGCCAGGCGTCTCTCTTAGCAGGACCCAGCAGACCTAAAACACAGCACCAACTTCTTTACTCTATAAGCACTCTACAATGCACTCCAATTTTGTTTGAGCATTAAAAAATAAGCTGTATTTGCTGTATTTGTATCTGTGTCTATACTGTTCCACTATTTCATTGCACAGTGTTCCCTGTGACAGCAAGGGACTATTCTATTCTTCTATTCTGTTATTAATTAACTTTAATATTTAAATAGTCCTATACAAAGTTAAAACCCCCCCAAAACAAAACAGTTTTTTAACATCTTATAGATGATCAGGACTGAATGCTCCCCCCTTTCCCAGACAGAGTGTGAATATAATTTTAGAACATTTCAACTCCTGTAGAGTTTAACTAAAGTAAAACTCATTTTCAACTCCGTTCTGAGTCTATTCTGATTGGCTTACCCCCCACATTGTTTTTGTACGTGCTATACAACTCTTTGACTCGTCGGTAGCGGAAGGCCAGTTTCCTCATCCAGTCGACTCCACCGCGGACGCCCGTAGCCAGGCACAGGTTTGCGCTGGTTGCAGCTGCATGGAAGCCATCAGTTGCAAAACTGTAAGTACTGTCAATAATAATAATATGTTTTATTTGGAAATCTGCTCTGGTAGAAAAAAAAACAACAAGATGGTTATTTGTATTTTGGTATTGGTATCACAAACATAACGGCAAGCATTTATTTTGTAAGAATGCAGTTAAGTATCATCTACATACTTTTAAAATTTTAGTCATCAAGTTAATATTAAAACACAAACTGGACAAATGTTGTTAATGTTTATCTGAATATATGATCTACAGAAATGAATGAATACTACAACTTTACACAAAAGTTAATTTTTAAATAATCACCTTAAGTCCTGGCCATTGTCATCTGATGACACGTCATCAATATGCACCTGATCACATTCCTGTATACAGATACACATAAAAATAACAATTATTGCAAGCACAATGTGCCGAAGATAGAATATAGACATGTTGTGACATTTACAGTATGTTAACTTCATTTTCACCACTAGAGCGCAGCAGTTGTATCTAACTGGGTAATGGTTTGGACCTCAGGCTTCCTCCCACAGCCCAAAGTCATTATGTTAATTCAATTCAGTTCTATTCAGATTTTATTCCTATAGCACATTTAAAAGCAACAGAGTTGACCAAAGTGCTTCACAATTAGTTAAGAACAAGAGAAAACAATAGAGAAACAAATACAGATAAACGAGAAGACGATGTATTAACTTAAAAGTCAAAAGTTAAGATAACTGTTGATTGTAAATTGGCTTTAGATGTGACTGTGAGCACGAATTTTGACAGTGGTGTGCCCTACCGTTTGCTCAGTCCAAGCTGGTGTATGATAAGGTGTGTATATCAAATCAGTGGAACAATGACATTCTCAACATTACGCTTTGTGCAAAAGCTAAAGACGGAGCAAAAACTGTTGACAATGTTAACAGCTGTGACTCACCTCCAGGTCATTAAAAAATAAGTGTGTGTCAGCCAAGTTGAAGATCATCTCTTCCATCCTCAGACCCAGTGTTACCGCCATGGGAGGGTCCTAAGAGAAGAGGAAGATAACATCATCATGACATCAACATGACAACAAATTTCCCGAGTTAATACTTACTCCCACCTCAAAAACCATTTTAGACCCCCCACCCTCAACAAACCCCTATTTGTATACTTGGTACGTTCCGCTCATCACTGCAGACGCTGACAGACAGGTTGCACTTGTTCTGTCCCATCAGCATTCCTTACGTTTTGAGGGGGGGGAGAGAGCAAGATTGTGTCCCTCCATGTGTGTGTGTTGCAAATTGTAGGTACCCTCAAAGGGAGATGCCTGGAGTGTATGTGGTGTGTGAATGGTTTGTGTGTGTCAATGTGTGTGTGTGTGCGGGCGTTCTGGAGAACGCGGCCTGCACTGCCAGGCTAGCGCTCAGCTGCAAAAACCATCATCTGTGATAGGTCAGCAAGGGTCGACAGCTTGCCGCACGATTCGCTGACGCTGTCAGACGACCAGAATAGAAAGAAACTAACAGGAAGGAGAGCGAAAGTGAGCGGGCGAGGTGCTCAGGCACGGAAAGCGAGAGAAACTGGCGGCATTCATGAGTGTCAGAAAGTGCAAAAGGATGTGCATCTTAAATCAGAAATTTGCCAACGGTGAGGAAGACTGAGGACGATCGCCTAAAGTCTTTTTCATTTAATCAAAACTGTCACCACATATACTTTGAGATAAAAAGGTAATGAGTTTTGTACCATAACAACACATGTTACTGAAATTTGTTATCTCTGACACACAGTGAACGACAGAGATTGAAGAGCATCTGTTAAATCTCCACTATGACTCATCACTGGTTATATTCTACGCGCATACAAAAGTCAATAACTCTTACTTGTTATTGCTAAATAACTATTATAATATTACTGCACAAAAATCCAGATGCACTCTTCACCTTCGCTGGTATCACTTAAGCTCTGGAAACTCAACACTTCCTCATGATGTGAGCAGCATACTAAGTATAGTAAGAAACAGAGAGTGAGATTGGCTTGTGCGATAAAGACGTCTATGCTTGTATTGACAAAAAGGCAAAACATCATTTGGAGCAGCTGTATCCTCAAAGCTCCATGAGAGGGGCACTTAGGTCTTGTGGTTTCTATGTTAATAGTGTAAACACTATTTTGGGTGAGGTGTGAACAGACACAGCTGCTGCTATATTTCTCAAGGGCAGCGGCAGAAAACGAGGTGAAAAAAATTCTCTCGCAAATATTTTCAGGCAAATATTAGGAGGCATATCCTTTTTTTTTTTATGCCGATGATTTGCCAGTTGTCATGAGCCATGCGGGTAATCTGACGTGGCGTGCTATGAAAGGGTACATTAAACCCCGATTTGAGTTCTTGGAAACATCTAATTCACTAGTTTGCAAGTCAAGACAAATGCAAAACCTCACTTCTTGATATTACCATTCAATTCAGTGCTTCTCTACAGAAAATACAACACAAAGAGGCTGAATTATCCATCAAGACCACGTGTGCCCTCGCTCTAAACATGGCATTTTACAACTCACCAGGGCCTGTCTTATGCCCATTAAATCCCAATTGCCAAACCTTAAAGTCCACAAATGCAGAACAACTAGGAAGCACATCAATGCCTGCAAACCCTATTTGTAAAAAGCCTGGGCTCCTATGGCTCAATGCAAGTCGGGCTCCAAATTGTGCGTGCGCTGTGCCAGCTTTTGTTCGACTGCCAAACAGCAATATCAGAACGGATTTATGATGCAAAGCCCGTACAGGCGGGCTGGTGGCCATGCTGGTGCCCACAGGAAACGACATCACCCAATAAAAATCTGCAGCCTTGGCTACGCGGGACGACCACAGATCAGTGCCAAGAACATTTTTTATTAAAATAAAGGGAACTATAAACAGGGATGCTGTTATGGGAGAAGGAGAGACCACCAAATAAGTTCACAGAGAAAAGTGGAATAAACATCAGCCCAAGTAAGAAATTAGCACATTAAATTATCATTCAATTAAAGAAAGCATTGGCAATTTAAAGACTTGTTTTATAATCCATTAGATTATCATCCCAAATTGACCGTAACATTCCTGAAGTGGCTGATGTCATTTTGAAAAATCTACAGAGACAAATGAAGCTTATTCACTTTGCGTGCTCATTGTCAAAATCAAAGTAAGGATGGAAACTCTGGTTTCAGAGATGGTGTATGAAGGTGGAGTATTGGTCCCTAAAAATCTGCTTCACTGATAGATCCTCACTACATTATATAATTTACCAATTTATGGTAAATTACCAATTTTAATCTATGTTGATTGTATATTTTCAAGAAAACATTAACTTTCAAAGCTAAAATTTAACCTAGCATTTAACGTTATTTTCCACCTGTAAATATAAAGAAGAGGTGGGATGTGTTTTCAGAATGTGGCCATGTACCACCAAAAAAAAAGCTCCACACCTCACTACACCACAGGGCACAGTAGCCTGAACAGTAAACCACCACCATATATTTTCTTCAAGAGAGTAAGTATACCCTTGATTAACTATGCAGCAAGTGTGAGCGCCCTTATAACAGCAGGAATTTTAGCTGTTTAATAGTGCAGATCATTTAGGTGTGCCCAAATCTCCCCAGCAAATTCACCTTAAAGTTATACCGTGAAATGTTGAGACAAATAGCCAAAACCCCAAGAGCTACTTTTTAGACTTTACAGGTCTGTGGTAGCATACTAAATGCTCATGACAATGCAATTAGAAAAAATACTGAACAAGAATTGCTAGCTTGGAAATGTTACCAGAAGAAAGGCTCCCGGGCAGGGTGAACATGGAGGCAGAATTTAGGGATGTAAAGTTGCTTCTGAACAAACCACAGGAACTTTTAGAACAATGTCCTTTGAACAGACGAGACCAAAGTGGAGATGTGTGGCCATAATGTGTGATGTTTAGAGAAAATCAAACTCAGAATATCAGCACAAATGCCTCATACCAACTGTCTGCCACAGCGGTTACACAGGGTGATGATTTGGGTTTGTTTTACAGCTACAGGACCTCGGCACCTTGTAGTCATCGAGTTGACCATGAACCGCTCTGTATACTAAAGTGTTCTGGAGTAAAATTTGAGGCCATGTGTCTAGCAGCTAAAGCTGGCCCAAATTGGGTCACAAAAAGGACAATGACCTCAAGCACAACAGCAAATCGACAACAGAATGACAGAAAAAGGAAAAACAAACAAACAAACAAGGCAATCAAAGTCCAGATCTAAACGCCACTTAAGTGCTGTGGACATCAAACAATTTAACAAGTTATTGCTGCTAAAGCTAGCTGCACAAACTATCGAATCATTTGGTGTACTTAGGGCTGCGTTACATAGTTGAGGTGCAGCTTAGCAGACAGCTGCTGGGTGCAGCTGCTGGTGTCAGCACCAACACGCCACACCTCTAATAATGCGTAACATTAGGTGTCATCACTTAACTGGGTGAGTTTACCTCCTGTTCTACTGTAACAATTTTCGTTTTCTTTCTGTACCAGATTTTTTAAATGAGTATCCACATGAATAGACTCACTTGGGGAGTTGAAGGTTCAACAACACTGGCTTTATTTTCATGCCCACCTTTTGTAAAGTTCAAGATTAGGCCCTCCTCTCGATGGCTCAGTTATTATGGATGATCTATTATGAGTTGTGTTAGTAGTCAAACTGATGCTCAAGCTTTAAATCTGGCACGGTGTGAAGGTTCATTGCTCGTGAATCCAATGGGCAGTCAAGCGTAGATACATATAGAAGCTTTACGAACAGTAAACTTAACGTAGCAAGTAAACACAGTAAAACAGTCTTACCTTGCCATATTTTTGTGCATAGGAGCCTGTGAGCAGAGAATGGAAGACAATAATCGTCTCATCCAGATCCCAAACAAACACCCTCTGCACATCACAACAAAAAAGACACAATGCAAGAAATTTGAGTCTATTCTTCTGATTTTACAAATGGCCCTTATTTAATAAGTACATTTATTTATTAAGTACAAATGTTCTGATTTATCAACATTTTCATTCCTGAATTTACTTATACTTCATGAACAAATGTAGAAGTGAATCTGTACATGAAAATATTATGATTGTCTAGGTGGAGTTAGGAAACAGACAAACATAGGCTACAATTATTATAGTAAGATGATAGCATGATTATTATACTACTATTATTGCCTATTGGTTATTATTTACTGCTTTCAAAAACACCATAAATCAATAAAATGCTCAGAATTACAGTCAGATTTAACCTAAAATTAAATTGTATGTAAAGAAAACAAAGTAGGAGATATAAAGATGCAGACTTTAAAGTTTTTACTTAAACATATCCCAGCATTCCTTTTCTCTTATCTTAAAATATCTGGTCTTCCATTAAAAATGACTTCTATTATTGCTGGATGTCATCACCTACAGTCTAATATCTTGGCACTATCCCACTGGTGCTTTTTATTTATTTTTAATGAGTTTCTCATCACAGGCTGACAGATCATGTTCTCCTTGTCGTCCATCTGTTTTCTTCTTTTTCTTATATTCTGTTAGCCTTTTTTTCACATCAGCTTTGATGTCCAAACCTGAGCCACAGTGAGCGTTCTCAGGAGAAACAATATTCTAAACCTCTGTTATTTCAGCCGGAGCCTCGCTTTATGAAGAGGGCGCCTTTTCTGTCCTCGTCTTTGGACGCGATTGTTTCAGTTTCTTCAGTCTGTCTCCTGCTTTCTTGCTTTAGAGATGCAGGCTCAACTCTCACAACGCTGTCACCACTTCTTTCTTTTTCCCCCCTGCCATCTTAACTAATTCCATCTAACGGTAAATGCTTCCTTATATAGAGAAACTGGGACGGAGCAGGATGCAGATTGCACAACCCTGCTGTTTCACAGTTTGATTTACTAATATAATGCGCAGTAGTACAAATAAAATAGTCCGGTGTACAGATTTTATAAATCTGCTGTTAATATAGCATCTACACTTTTTTGTTTTGTTTTACATATATGCATATTAGCAAATAAGGGCCAATATATACATTCAGGCCTGTATTGACAATGACAATGACTCTAATAGCTTCTGCTTGATTGAATTTGGAGACTAAAGTAAAGAAAATGGACAAAGATCAAAGAAAATACCATGTGTCCATGGAGAATTGAAGGGAGCATTCATTCAGTAATCTCGGTGCTCTCAGTGTATGTTTTCTAGTCTCTTACCTCCAGGTCACTATCAGGAGGAGGGGAGGGTTTGTTCTTGCGGCCCCTGCCCCGAGACTTAGACCCCCCACTCCGGCAGGCTCTGTCATCCAGCTCTTTGATGGGTGTGGAAGGGCTCTGCACTGTATCAAAGTCCCCTGAGAGTGTATATAAACACACACACAGGGCTTTTGAAACATTTTAAATTTACATGTGATCAAATATCTGTCCTAAACTGCACAAGCAATCACAAACTAAAGTCACTCCATTAAAAGCAGCACTAATGATGTGGTTTGAGGTGATCCCACAGGTGCTCTGGAGTTGTAGCCACTTCAGGAGAAGCAATAATTCAAACCCTGTACAGTAATAAGCCATGTTGTCAGGTTTAATAATTCAAGGTAATTGGCATGACGGATCAACTTAAAGGCTACCAAGAAACCTAAACAAAAGTACCACCGGTATTCTGACTGATTCATGACAGCGTGCACATGCAAAGATTTAACAGGGGAGTGGGAAGATTGAAGTGTGCAATAAATTAGTTAGGTTAGGTAATGTGATGCTTCTTGCTAAGATACAGTACATACAATTTTCTTGAGGAGAATACATGGGAATGCTCCCAAAGGTTCAAACACAGACACACGCACACTTTCCTAACGCCATATGCTCCCACTGCTGCGCGGTAACTAGAACCAGACTCTGAGCTTCGGCTCGCATATTATTATGTCTCAATCAGGGAGAAAAAGGGAGGGGGGGTGGAGAGAGTGAAAAGGGGGGGGGGTGGATAAAGATACTCACACACAAGAAAAAGTTGGTGATAAAATAAAAAAAAGACCCTCCTGGACAAAGAGCGAAAGAGAAAAAGTGAGAAAGCCAGCGGAAGAAAAAGAGCTAGTGACAGGAAGAATGATAAGCTCCTTTAATCAGGCTTCCTGAATTACAGCCAAAATAAACCAAATAATAATATGGAAAAAATGAAAAGCCGAACACGAATCCATATTCCTGAGCACAAGTGTGCAGTTTAAGTCCTTCTTGCTTCCCGCTTTCTCCTCCGGCTTGCCCACCAAAGTGCAATATTTAACGTGACTTGTCTCTAATCAAGTCTCGGACGCTAATGTAAACACATGTCGATTCTCCAATTAGCCAGTGCAATGCCAGGTAACTATGGCTACAGTCTAAAGTTACTTCCTGTGCTTCATCATCGTAGAAAGAGGGCTTTGAACTCGGTTAACTTAAAACTGTGGAAACAAGATTATGAAACCGCAATCAGAAGTGGTGAAAAAAAATTCTGACATTTGTTTGCATATTTATGAAGTTAGAGCCGGGGTGTGGTGTTGGTAATTCGACTGCTTCTTTCTAAACTATGCCCATGTTAACACAAACCTGGGTGAAGTTCAGCAGCCTGTCCAGTTATGGCGGGGGTGGGATCTTGCAGCTGGTAGGCTGCTGTGGAACCGGTGCCATCCACGTTGTTGGAGGTCATGTACGTCCCGTAAGGGGAGGTGGAATAATACTGAGCATACTGGTTTTGGCCAAATGTCGTATATGAGGGATAATCCTGCGGAAAATAACAAGAATTATGAGCACGCAAAGACATACCAAGCAAACAAAAAGAAACAGGGAGACGGAGAGGTTTTCCTGAAGGGACCAGTCTGACTTCTGAGGATAGATTTTACAAGTGTTCCCTCTCATGTCTCTAATCTTTTGTCCCTGCCTTTCTGTATTTTATATCTCTGAAACAATTAAAACCTTGTGCTGCTGCTTTTTACAGACCCAGTGGAGATGGACGCTTTTTATGAGTCAGCTCTCTAAACCTGTCACTACATCCATCTCCAGAAGTCCTTAAACAAAGCCACACACAATAAGAAGGCACAGTTGGTGTGTAGTCATACAGTGCAACACTTGTGCACACGCTCTGAAGTATCACAAGGGGTAAAGGAAAAATGTAAATGCAACAGAGTCATAGAAAGTAAGCTTGTTTCTACATAGAGATTTTTACTTTGACTTGCATTTGTTTCCCGGAGACCAACCATGACTTCGACTTTACTTTGCTTACCCAACAAGATTAACCCTAACCTTAAACCAACTTAAATGTTGCAATTCATGCAACTGGATCTTGCTTCTTTGTCCCCAAAAGAGAGGCAGGTCCCCACAGTGTGACTGTTTAAAAAGATTTATGTCCCCACAACATGAGTAATACAAGTACACACACATACGCACACACTATATTCCCCCTTAATCCACCCACATGGGCCAAACCTTGACTTTCTTCCTGTAAACAGCCACATCTATCATAGTGAGACATTAAAATCCCCCTTTAAGCATTTTTACTACCACAATGCAATTCATCATATGGACATAGAGAAATATTCAGACCATAACACTCTTTCACAAAGACTAATTGTCTGTTTCTCTCCCAGAATTTTCCCTGTTGCAAGGTTGCATTGTGATGATGAAAACTGCGTGGGAGCATGCCTGGAAAACCATTTCTGGTCTGAAATCCTAATGCAACTAATATGAAATTCGGATCCTTTTTTCCCTTTCTTTCTTTCTTTCTGCTTTGGAGACAGCATTATAAGATAATCACATTAAATGACAACAAAGAGCTAACACATTAGCTTCGTTTGATAGACCAACCTGTGTTCACAAATGCATGCGGTCGTACCTGCTGTGTGGCAGTGTAGTTGGCGGGGTTGGACACTGAGTTGTTGGTGGTGTAGAGGCCTGAGGAAGGAGTGAAACTGGAACCTGTTCAGAAATTAACCCCCCTTTAGCAAGAACTTAAAAACCAAAAATGTTTAAGTTAAATAAAAGGCTGTGTTATAAACAGACCTGGCATTGGATAGGGGGAGTAGGCAGTCTGTCCAGGCTGAGGTGTGGTAAAGCCGGGGCTGTAGCTGAGGCCTGTCTGCAGAGGAGACTGACTCTGGGCTAGGCCGCTTTCTGTTTTTATGCCGGGAAGCATCACACCGAGGTCTATGGCAATTGAAAAAAAAAAATGATATTAAATGTTTCAGCTTTAATTTGCAGAGTTTAACAAAAGTCTCTTCTTCCTCAGAAGACTTAGAGACTTCCACCTGCCACTGAGGGTGCTTAAGAACTTCTACTCCTTTAATGGTCGGGCATTGCACAGCAATAAGCATTTCACCACGTATCGTACTGTGTATGGTTGTGTGTGTGACAAATAAAATTTGAATTTGAAAAGTATTGCATTAACTATTTACATATACATTGACCCCAGTTTTAGAGACTCGAAATAAACTGAACAAACTAACGTAATTTTAATTATAAGGATTATTTTTATAACTATAATCCTTTGCAGTAAATGACTGACTGAAGTCAAGATACTATGGGCATCACTATATGCTCCTTCCATGCTTGAGATGCTCTGCCAGGCCTTTACTTCCACCACCTTCAGTTGCTGCTTGTTTGAGGTTCTCGGTGCATTCAGTTTTGTCATCAGTAACTGCAAAGCATGCTCTGATTGGCTGTGATCAGGTGACTGAAAAGCATATCCATCAGAAAGAGTCTATTTTTCTTGCTTTCAGAAACTCTAGGTTGCTTTTGCAGTTCGTTTTGGGTCATTAACGTTTACACTGTGAAGTGCTGTCCAATCAGTTTTGCAGCTGAATCTGAGCAGAGAGTAAAGCCCATAATACTTCACAATTCATCCTGCTACTTCTATCAGCAGTCACATCATCAATAAACACTAGTGACCCAGCTCCACTGGCACCCATACACATTAATCTCAGTTCCATGTGTCCAAAGATTTTTGTCAGAACTGTGCAGACTCTTTTAGATGTTTTCTGGCAAAGTCCACTCTGGCCTTCTTGTTCTTGAGTGTAACCAGCGGTCTGCACTTTGCTGGTCTGCATTTCCATTCATGAAGGTGTTGCTTGATTGTAGGCCTTGACAATGAAACACCTATCTCTGTGAAAGTGTTCCCGACGTGTTTAAATGTTCTGAAGTTGTTTTTCTTAACCACGGAAATAGTTCTGTCCTCATCCACTTTAGTTAGCCTCTGTGTTCTTTCAAGACTTTTGGTGTTGCTGAGATGGGCAGTAACGCCGTAGATTTTTAAGAATCTACCAGTGATTTGGCCACTGTCTCTCTGATAGCTTTATTTGGGCTTCCCTCACTTACATCAACATCTCTTTAGACCTCATTTTGACAGTTTTAATGAAGAATAACCAAAATGTAATATAAAAACACTTTGAATCAACTCCACATTTTCATCTGCTTAATTTTTCATTGAATAACAAATGAATAGGCCTTACTGGGACATGAAACTGAACAAAAGTCAACTACGCAATTAATTTTGAGCCTCTAAAAATGGGGAGACTGGTATGAGACTGGCTGTAATTTCTAAACAGTTAATACAATACTTTTGTTAATTCAATTTAATTAAAGCTGGAAGTCTGCTCTTCAATCACATCTTGATTGCTTGTTTTAAAATCCAGTGCGGTGGGGTACAGCAGGAAAAGTTACAAGAGATTGTTTCATCGCCTACATACTTATGGATCTAACTGCATATTGTCCTCATTCTGCTACGAGTTCACTTTCAGTTCAGTTTATTCGAATCTTTGGCTGTACCCAGTTGCAATGATTGAATGGGTGAAAATATTTAATTTCTCCCCAAATAGAATACAGCATAATGAGTTTACTTCTAGTTTTTAAAGGGCATCCAAACCAGTCACTCAGCACAAACACATCAACCCAGTTGCATGGGAAAACTTAGGTTTGAGTTTGAACAATGTCTCCTATCACAAAATAATACCATATAAATAAGATTCCTTCTTTCACACAACACTTGCAGTTTAGTTTGTAAATCTTCGAAAAATAATTTTTCTGCAGTTTTTGTATGGAGATGTGTGGGTAGAACTATGTGGCTTATTCAGCGTGTGTTGGTTCACACCATAGGTAGACAATCCGTAGGCCTGGCCTGTCTGCGAATAAGCAGTATAGACGGTTGATTGCTGCATGCTGCTGAACTGAGGTTGGCCGGTGTACGTCGGCATGGAAGGAGCTGCCGGCGTGGAGAGGATGTGAGGGTAGGGCCTATAAGAGAGAGGAAAGTGACAGTGGGAGTAGGTAAATTAGCCACTTGGTATATTATAGCATTTAGGAGTTATTTCGTTGAGTAAAATTCAACTTTAGCTAACCTTACAGAATGCAAACAAAGATGCCTGTTCAGTTTTAAAACTTGGACTTACTTGGATGGGTAGAGAGGGGGAGAGTACTGGTGGGCTGAACGAGGGCTGTAGCCGCTGCTGGTGATTACTAAAAACAGCAAAATAATCAAAAACAACAAGGCAAAAACATGTTACGGATGGTGTCAACTCAAATCTGCTGTTTTTCTGAGCATTTACCAAAACCACTCCTGAGCAGGACAATTCGGGGCCTCCAGCTTATTTGAGCCGAGATGCCGTTCCAGTAAACATAATTTGAAGCATTTTGAATGGAGGGGAGCCAAGTTCTTCCTTTAGAGATCACCGCAGTCCCTGAAACCCTTACAGTGGGCCTCATAGCAAAACACAATGTCTGTTTGTGGTCATTGAGATGTCAGAGCTCAGTACTGACAAACACCCTGCTGGGTTTAAACCCCTCTCTCTGTTTTGTAGAATGGCTTTGTGTGTGTGTGTTACAGTGTGAAAGAGAATGGGGGACGTGTGTGAGTCCAAAAAAAAAAAAGAAAAAAGACAAGTGTAAAATGTCTCTGCCCCTCTCTTATCCCTCTGCCAGCCTTTGATGATGATGCAATCCAAGGACAGGCAATATTTCACTGGATTAAAGCTTTCAGCAGGTCTACCAGTGAGCTCAAATGGATGATGGTGTTTGTGTGACTTCTGTGCGTCTGAACAAAAACAGACAAGCGGAGACCAGAAGGCATTTATATTTCTGCGTCTATCTATGGCTGATTCAGTTGTCAACTCACTGTACTTTTTTCCCCCATCTACAGTCTTACAGCAACTCCGAGTGCAGAGGGATTTGATTTTTTCAAACCTACACTGTTTTTAAAAAGCAGTGTATTCACCTGAATCACAGAATGTATATTATATATTGATCAGCTTTCTGACCACTATCACAGCTACTTATACAACTACTACTACTAAAAAATAAATAAATAAAAGACAGTCAAAAGGTTAAACTCAAGCCTGCAAATTTAAAATTAGCAATAGCTGTTTTGGGGAAGCAAGTTAAAAACTAACTATAATCTATGCAAAATACACTTCTTCTGGTTTTGTCACAAGTCCACACGCCATTATCCTGCCCATGATGCTTTGCAAATTCCTAGTCTTCCTTTTGGATTCTTAATGCTAGATTAATGAATAAACTCTGACTGACAGGTATGGACTTTGGTGATATTTCTGAATTGTGTGCATATTTATCCAAGGGTCTGTGCTTTACCTGAGCCTGCGTATGTATCTAGGGCTGTGTCCCCTGTCGTAGTAACTGTATCGCTGTTGTTCAACGGCTCTGTTTTCACTTAAAGGAAAAGGAAAAGGTCAGTATTAGGGTAAAGCAGTAATGACTTCCCACAACACACAGACAGAAACAAACCTTAGTGGGTAAGAGCAGAAAATGTCCATGCAATTCCAGCATGTCAACTTAATGCTGCGTGCAGGGTTCCCATTGCAAGCACTATTTAATTTCACAGTCTTTAAATGGCTCTCTATAACCACTATGCTTGAAGCTTTTTACTTCGTCATTGTTTTCTGATGCTATTTTTAAGATATGGATGACTTTGAAAACTATAAAATGTAAGTAACACATTCAAAAATGAATTACTGCAAAGTGATCCTTAGCAAATGTTTGCGATTTATTGCCCTCCCCCTGCAAATTTATCAAATTCCCCTCTTTTCAGAGGGTCTTTGGTAGGAACCCTGTAAATATACTATAAAAATAAAAAAATAAAAAAGAGAGAAAGAAACTTCACACACAGTAATAAACTGGGATGCAGAAAAACAATGAAAATTCAGAAAGCAGAGAAAAAATTCACAGCAAACCAAAAATCAGTCAGAGCAACTCTGGCAAGAACCAACAAACAAAACCCAAAATAAAAAAAACACAACTAACAACAAGTCAACAACCGAGGCTAGCTAAAACTAAAGAAAGTTCAACGGCTATGCTTTTGCTGTATTGCTGTAAAATCTTTGCTCTGGGATTCACACACATGCACCTCTGTACCATATTCCTTGGAGCCTGTGGCAGGGGATGGGCTGCTGCAGCCCAACAGCCAATCAGCCGTGTTAAGAACGGTCATGCTTTCACCTATAGGGGTGCAAGGTGGGAAGGTGATGAGGATACGACCCACTGAAAACCAGATGCAGGTCAAAGGTATACGGGGTCACATGGTACTGATCTTTTCGTAGACATTTGCGTTGAAGAAAAAAAAGAAACATTCCCGAAATAGTTATATTGTGGGAATATTTAAAGACTTGTGTTTTTTTCCCCATCGTCTTGCTTTCATGTTTTCTTGCCAAGTTATTAAGACGGTCGGTAACAATTTTGTCTCTATGCTAAATATGAAGCTAGAGTAAGGAAATGGTTAGCTTATAAAACTGGTAGAACAGCTGCTTCCCAGCGCTCCAAAAGCTTAGAAACAAGATGTCAGTAAAGGCATATATAACCCCCAACCTGCTGATTTTTTGTACAGATTAAAACAAACTGATTTCAGAACTCTAGAGGTGCTGGTAGGTGGATTTTGTTACCCTTGGACAAAGCCAGACGTAATTTTCCCACCTGTTAAGTCTAGTTTGAGTCTTAAATCAAAGGTAATATATCCATTTGGGTGTAGGTCAAAATAACCCTTATGTATCTCACACTGGATTTTGGTAAGCCCTTCAAATCATTCTCTGTCTGAATAATTTTCCCTTTAAGTCACCCCATTTATGCAAACTTTCTTGTAATTGGGGCAGCCAAGTCTGGTAGTAGCCAGGACTGGTTGTAGCTAATGAAACTGAACTGAATTTTGGTTAAACACATTTAATCCCTGATTCATCCACAAAAAGGCACATTTAGATAGCTTGAGTTAGAGTGAGAAATATAAATACATATACATTCTGGTGACATGTGAGACTAACATTAATATGTCAAAGTAGAAGGATATGCGACTTTTAAGACAGAGCTATTTTATTATAATACATGACAACTGTATCTGCTTTAACAAACAGCTATTAGATTAATCTCCTGATATTTCTGTCTCTACAAATATGTTCTTGCTAAAGTCTCGAGCTATTCTTCTAATTAGCAGCTCATCTATCATCACATGATTGCGCTTTTTAAAAGAAGAGGACACCTGTTAATCAGTTTATCATTCTACATAATGTGTTTCAGGGGCTTCTTTTCTCAAACGCCCATCACTAGCAACCATCTGAAAACTCAATTGAGTTCAGGACAACTTCATTAATCCCCTAAGGGAACAATACAATCCACTGGACAAGCTGTAATGAAGACAAATGAATTGCTATGGAGATGGCCTTTGGGTCTGAGCGTTCGCTGATGTCAGGTGAGGGGAATGTTGAGTATGTAGATTGTTTTGGCTCTCTGTGAAGCCCGAGCTCTGTCTGCTTAAATCATTAACTGTGAGCTCATCAAAAATGATTTAATGTGCTCTAATACAGTCTCGGTGTGCTGTTAGCCCACACTGAGCATGTGTGACTGCGAGTATGTTAACACATCAAAATGACTAAAATACAGCATCTCACTTTTTCCATGACATTATTATTATTATTAGAAGTGGTTTCCACCGCCTGGTAAATCAGCAATAGATCAAACGATGGCCCTCAACAAAAGCACCATGTCCAGGGCTATATCATCAAACTGTCCTGACAGAAATGGTTCCAGAGGACAGAGCATGAGAAAGTGGGAAGATCAAGGGTGAGAGGAGAAAAAAAAGATTAATAGAAAGAAGGAGAAACGCATACGGACTCAGAGTAAAGAAAAAGAAGAAAAAGAGAGGAGCGGGCTCACTGGTGTTGACATATAAGAGAGCAGTGATGCTTTAATGCTCTTGTAGAGGAAATAGTTTCCAGTGGGATTTTGAGCTTGCTCTCCAACACACACATACAGACACTTTGCCAAGCCGTTAGCGGAGGAGTGCAGAAGTGCTTCGCCGTGTGTTTACACACATTCTCCGGTGGTTTATTCAAGAACTCATGCCAGCTTGGAAGTGTGTATGCATGCATTTGTATGTGCGTGTGTCCCTCCATCTCCATAAATTCCTCAAAAAGTATTTATCTCTACATGCTGAAAGGATTTCTGACTGATGATTTTGCAATAAATTTCATTGCATTACATTTTTCTCATCAAATGCTCTTGCCTTAAGTGACTTTCAACATGTGCATTGGACCTCCTTTGGCATTAAGATTATATTAAAAAAAGGAATAAAAGACAATGAGTATTCTGAATGGAGGAGTTTAGACTTTCAACTACATTTTACACAACGTAAAAAAAATAGAAATCAGTAAATTCACTGTTCCTGCATCAATGGCTCTCTCCTTTCTTCAAAGAAATAATTCACCCTTTAACTTTAATACATCATGGACCTTTATGCAGCATTTCAAGTAAACGTACATACTGGCAAATTTGTTTTCTAGCTTAGAGTTAGAAAGGACTAAAATCATTTTCAGAGGGTCAGATTAGTTAGCCTTGAAACATGTGAAACTGTTGGCTTTTCCTGTCCAAATGTAACCAATCTGGCTTACCAGCACCTTTTTAAGCTTAAAAATGAACAAATCTTGTTTGTTTAGTTCAAAAGGGAAACATATAGGTTTTATTTATTTATTTCTTATATAGTATATTTGATATTTATGTATCTGACATACCCCATGTTGGTGTTGTTCCTGGATAAACATTGCATCTGACGGATGATGTTGTCTGAGCAATCAGTTAGCATTAGCCAAGAGGTTAGCTAATGCTATAAAGAAACTATCACTTGTAGCAAAGCAGCATTGGTAACCTAAATTTAAATCTAAAGGTAATCCAAACAATATTTATCATATTGTATAAATGAATAAAGAAAATGCTTGAAATGCTTAGCATTTGTTCCAGAAGATAATTTTATACTAACAAAAGCCCCCCCACCCCAACATTACAAAGCTATGACATCACAACATTATTGGTCAGCTGTAACACTCATTCTGGACCAACATTAATATGACGATGTGGGAAAAGCATCCACACAGGGATATTAGGTCATGCCTTTGACTACAGTTGGCCATAGTCAGACAGTGGTTTTATGACACAGTGGGCAGTCAATAATGCAAAGATCTATTGCAGCAGCATATCGAATGTCCTTTTTCATGGAAGAAGATTGCAAACAAAGAAAGATTCATATAATTTAACGTCAACCTTTATTTTGGAAAAATAAAACTTAATTTTTAAAATTCTTAGTTCTTTTTTTGTGCTTTACTTAAACTGGCATCTTAGAGTGGGAGGGAGCTGATCAGCTACTTGAAAGTAATGTGGGATGGTGGAGTAGCATTGGGGTTGCCATGAACCCATAAGCCCACTTTTTCTCAGAAAACAACTAAATCTATGCATTTGCCATCATATTGACTTCCTCTGGGAATGTGTGCAGATTTATTAAGCAGTCGAACACATTTTTTTCTTTGAGTTTCAGATACACAGCTGAGTACAAAATACTAGAGCCCCTAAGAAAACCTCCTAAAAATCCCATCTTCTCACCTCCTGTTCCATTGGTGGTGATAGACGGGCTGCCAAGGTTGTTCTTGTCCAGCTTGGAGCCTGTCGAATCTCCACCTCCCACTCGGTTATGAGGACTGGCTAGGTCCTGCATTTCCATAGACCTATTTGGGGAGAGAAGATGGCAAGGAAAAAGAGGTAAACTCTCTTCTACTGTTATGTGCTGTATGTGCTATTTAATGAATAGCAGATCAATGCCAATATGTTCTCACAGGTGGGAATTTACATCGACCATACATTATGTTAAGATCCCACTGTACTGTAGATCCTCACAGTCATAAACTTCATACTTCTCAGCACCAGTTAGCTTACATGAGCATGTGTTCAGAGGGGCTACACCTTGTATGTGGGCCTGCTGGCTCTTTTATGGTGTGGTGGTATGTGTGTGTGTGTGTGTGTGTGTGTGTGTGTGTGTGTGTGTGTGTGTGTGTGTGTGTGTGTGTGTGTGTGTGTGTGTGT